GGAGAAATGGAGGAGAGAAGAGATATGAGAGAAAGAGAGAGAGAGAGGCTGCCAACTCTTGCAAAAATGTGCAGGGGCGGGAAGAATTTAGGAAAAAATAAATTGCTTCAAGAAGGGAAAATAAACATAATTGGCTCCAAAGGGGGGAAAAAATAAATTGCTTCAAGAGAAATCAGCCCTTGGCTGGGGGAGGAGGGGAAAAAAAAAGGGGGGGGGGGAAGAGCTGTTTATTTTCCTTCAAGGCTTTCAAGACCAGCCTTGGGGGCGTCTCGTCCTGGTTATGTCAGGATCGCACCCGGGTGCCCAGAGCCAAAGTAAATATGGCATTTAAAGGGTACGGGAAAGGGAGGGGGGGAAAGGGATCCTCCTGAGCTAATTGGGGTCCAAGGAGCCCCTTTTCAAGAACTGGGGGAAAGTTTGGCCTCAGCTGTGCCCCCCTCCCCCCCCCAAAAAAACCCACAGGAGCAGTCAAAGCCCAGGTTCACGGGCCTCTTTTAAAAAAAGATTGTGCACCATTTACGGCATTTGGTTTTTGGGGTGGGGAAGCTGCGTTCCTGAATTTATGGGGCCACAACTCCAACCTCCCATCTGGGGACGATGGAAGATGTAGTCCAAGAGCTCTAGAAGAAGCCCAGGTTGGAAGAAAAGATTTTTTAAAGATGTTAAATTTAAAAAGACTGTGCAGAATTTACGGTATTTGGGTTTTGCCTGGGGAGGCTGGTGCAGTCTCCATTCCTGAAATTAAGGGATAGGAACTCCTCGGGGACGATGGGAAATGTAGTCCAAGTGCTCTAGAAGGGCGCAGGTTGGAGGAAATCTTTCTCTTTAAGAAGCACTCTCCCTCCCAGTTCCCAAATGGGTGTAATCTTACACACAACTCCTCTCTCTTTGGCTCAACCCTGCAATTTCTTTACAGATCTGGTAGGCCTCTTCTGGGTTTCTTATCCACACGGGTCGTTTTGAGTTTCCCCTGACTACAAGTCCCATCGTTCCCAGACCAATCCAGCCAGTCGGTCTGCATGGTGAGAGCCTAAGCAAAGCGAAAAAGGAAGCCAGATATTGCGGGAAAGGCCGGGGGACAGGTTCTCACATCACCTGGGCTAAAGTGAGGGCAACCAGGCTGCAATACTCCACAGGATCTCCAGATGGCAGTAGAAAGCGTCTTTGTCGCCATCTACAGGGCTTCTGGAGAACTGCAGTCCGCTTTTTGATGCCCAGAAAGATTTGTGGGCCTCTTCAGAGGCTACCAACAACCACGATATGGCAACAGACACAACTCTGCTCTATCCACCCTCTTGTATACACGCTTGTATGACACTTGTATACCCACCCAGACATGCACCCGTCATGCCTCCATCCTTAATTTGCAAGCACACAGCAGAGAAGTTATTTCCTCCAACCTGCCCCCCATACTGGTCAGAACAACAGAGTTGGCGGGTCCTTAGCCCCCCGCCCCCCAATTCGGAGCACTTGTGCAAACACCAGCTCTGATCCACGCCGGTGGTCACTCCGATAACACTCCCCCTGCACAGCTTCTCCAGCCCACCTTCCGCGACACGCGTGTCAGTGCCTTGCCAACTGCACCAACGCCCGGTGTCTGCCCGGTCTCCCCACCAGACGAGCCGCGGCGACACGCCCGTCTGCGGCGCCCTCCCGAGTGAACCAGCCTGGCTACCCTGACACGCGTGTTTGCGCCTTCCCGACTGCACCAACGTTTGCACGGTCTCTCCTCCACCGGGCTAGCCAACGGCGACACGCGCGTCCGTGCCCGCCGGCGTTGCCCCAACCCCGCCGGCCGCGCGGCCTCTCCAGCCCCGCCCCGCCGACACGCGTGTCGGCGCCTTCTCACGAGCGCGCCCAGGCGGCCCCGCCGCGCCGTCCCACCTGCTGCGCTGGGGCAGGAGCAGCATCTTGAGCAGCGGGTGGGTGTAGAGCCAGAGGCCGCGGCGGGCGAGGCTGAGGACCCGCACGCGAGGCTCCAGGATCCGCAGCTCCATGGCGCAGCCAGCAAGGCCGGCGCTCAGCCCCAGCGCTGGGCTTTACGCAAGCCGGGCCCGCGGCGCCGCCTTCTTCCCCAGGCCCGGCCCGGCCCGGCCCACGGGGTGGAGAGCGCCGGCCCCGACCCACCCCCGGCCCGCCTTCCCCTTTTGCTTTGGCTCGGCTCGGCTCGGGCCGCCTCTGAGCTCGTGCAGAGCGCTGGGGCAACGGCGCGCGCAAGGGGAGCGAGCGGCCCAGGCGCGCCTCTGGGTGTCCTCCGCTTTCCCTTCGCGGGTGCTGAAAGAGAGCCGGGGCTTCTCACGACCCCGCTCGGCCGCCTTGCGGGTTTCGTGGGTTGTTGGCTAAGCAGGTCGGGTGCACCCGCCCTTCGCCTTGAACTTTTAAGCTTTCCTTCCTTCCTTCCTTCCTCCTTTCCTTCCTTTCTTCTTTCCTTCCTCCCTTTCTTTCCTCCCTCCCTCCTTCTTTTCTTTCTTCCTTCATCCCTCCTTTCCTTCCTCCCTGTTTCTTTCCTTCCTCCCTTCTTCTCTCCCTCCTTCTTTCCTTCCTTCTCTCATCTTTCATTTTTTGTTTTTTTTAAAAATCCTTATTTCCTCCCTTTCTCCTAACTTCCCTTTCGTTTCATTCCTTCCTCCCTCCTGTTTTCCTTCCTGTTTTATAATCTCTCAACTTTCAATTTTTTTCTTTTAATCCTCCCTTCCCTTTCCTTCCTTCCTTCTTCCTCTCTCCTTCCTTCCTTCCTGTCATATAATCTTTATCTCTTTCAATTTTTCTCCTGCCTTGCTCTTAATTATATGACAGGAAGGAAGGAAGGAAGGAAGGATTATCTCTTTTAAAAAATTTTTTTTTCTGCCTTGCTCTTAATCCTTCCTTCCTCCTTCCCTCCCTCCCTCCTTTCCTTTCCTTCCTTCTTCCTCCCTCCTGCCTTCCCCTCCTCATCCTCGGTGCCATGCCCACATTTTTCTCCTCTACACGCCTTCAACTCGGGGTGTTTCTAACGTTTTCCGCTGCTCCCTTTGCATGTTCCATGCGGAGAATGTTCTCCTCCTTGTCTCCCGGCCTTTGATGGAAAAGCACAGATAATAGATCCAAAGACAGGCTGATTCGAGTTGCAACGGGCCTGCTCGGTGCCCACAGCAAATGTTTCCGCCACAGCTACGAAGACGCAAGGGGGAGTTTGCGCATAACAGGTCGGTTTTTCTGTTGTGGTTGCCCCCAGCCTGGCCTGGCCCAAAACTTGATTTAAAAAAAAAAAACAGACCTGCAAGAATCAGAATTCCTGGCCAGGTGAATTGAAGCCTGCAACTCCCTTAATGCCTCCGGAAGTTGTGAATAATCCAACACTGGAAGAGTTTTAAGAAGAGATTGGACAACCCTCGGTCTGAAATGGCGTTAGGGCAGAGGTCTCCAAACTTGGCAAGTTTAAGACTTGTGGATTTCAACTCCCAGAATTCCCCAGCCAGTCATGCCTGTTTTTCTCTCTTAATCTCCTAAAGTGGAGAGAGATTGCAGAGGAAGGGATTACAAGAGAGTCAGCTATGCTGGCTGGAGAACCCTGGGAGTTGAAGTCCAACAAGTCTTAAACTTGCCAAGGTTGGAGACGGCTGGATTAAAGTCACCCGTTAAATCCAAACCAAGTAAAGCCACATTCCAGTTTAAGAAAATAAGGGCAAACCAGCCCTGCCAACATGCTTTCCCCCCCCGAAGTCTTTTGCAAACTGCTTCACATCCCCCCCACCCAAAAAAAGCCGTTGGAAGGGCGGCAATGCGCCCGATTTCAGAACTGACATGTCATTTAAAAAGCACACGCATCCGTTAAAATTTTTCCCATGGCAAAAGGGAGGATCACAAGAATCGGAGCAGAGACTGTTGAAAAATCTTCCAAACT